CGTGTGCGTGTGTGTGCGGTGCGTGTGCGTGTGCGTGTGCGTGTGCGTGTGCGTGTGCGTGTGCGTGTGCGTGTGCGTGTGCGTGTGCGTGTGCGTGTGCGTGTGCGTGTGGGTGTGGGTGTGGGTGTGGGTGTGGGTGTGGGTGTGGGTGTGTGTGTGTGTGTGTGTGTGTACGTGTGTGTGTGGTTTTGTGCGTGTCTGTGGTTGTGGTGCGTGGGTGTGTGGGTGCGTGGGTGCGTGGGTGCGTGGGTGCGTGGGTGCGTGGGTGCGTGGGTGCGTGGGTGCGTGGGTGCGTGGGTGCGTGGGTGCGTGGGTGCGTGGGTGCGTGGGTGCGTGGGTGCGTGGGTGCGTATGTGCGTGGGTACGTGGGTGCATGGGTGCGTGGGTGCGTGGGTGCGTGCGTGGGTGCGTGGGTGCGTGGGTGCGTATGTGCGTGGGTACGTGGGTGCATGGGTGCGTGGGTGCGTGGGTGCGTATGTGCGTGGGTACGTGGGTGCATGGGTGCGTGCGTGCGTGCGTGCGTGCGCGCGTGCTTGCGTGGGTACGTGGGTGCGTGCGTGCGTGCGTGGGTGCGTGGGTGCGTAGGTGCGCGGGTGCGTGCGTGGGTGCGTGGGTGCGTGGGTGGGTGGGTGGGTGGGTGGGTGCGTGGGTGCGTGGGTGCATGGGTGCGTGGGTGCGTGGGTGCGTGGGTGCGTGGGTGCGTGGGTGCGTGGTGCGTGGGTGCGTGGGTGCGAGGGTGCGTGCGTGCGTGCGTGCGTGCGTGGGTGGGTGAGTGGGTGGGTGGGTGGGTGGGTGGGTGGGTGGGTGGGTGGGTGGGTGGGTGGGTGGGTGTGTGGGTGTGTGGGTGGGTGTGTGTGTGTGTGCAGGTGTGTTTATGAGTATGCGCGAGAGTAGAGGCGCATTGTGTTTGTTTCCGTTTGGTTTCCCTTTAGCTTCCCATGGACATTGCCAGGTCTCCAGCGACATCTGTCGATTCATGACTATGTCACTATGTGCTAAGGTCGGTGTGTGTTTGATGCGTAACATAGATTTGTTCCGTGAGCCATCCATAGTAACATTTCGTCACGGGTAACGAAACCCCCGGTTTCAAAGAGAGAATTGCAGGACTCAGAACCTGCCTGACACTCTCACGGATTCGGGCAGGCGCACAAATACCATGTGAGCCAAGCGTCAGTGTGGGCCACGTGGCAGTAGTTGCAGGCCTCGCCGAGCTCGCAGTGCCCGGCGCTGAAATATATGCACGGGCGACGGCACACCTGCGGCCCAGCAAGCGCTTGGTCCGTTTCATCGAGAGTGCATGCCTCCACGGCCGGTCGAAGGCTCCATTTGCCGTCTTTGCCGTTCAGAACAGCATCCAAAATGGCAGTCCAAAATATTGGGCCACCCCAAATCCAGAAACGGTACATATCCGCATTTCCGTACGCCGAGTAGGCAATACGAAAGGCCTTGCAAGCTTCAGGTACGGTACGCCCGCCTCAAAGAAACCTACTCCTAATTTGCACGGCCCCCTTGAGAACCTGGCAGCCCAACCAAAAGCAGGTATGACATTCTCATTGAGACCTTTGGCCATGTCGGACAAAGTAGCTGAACATGTTGAAGGAAAGCTACATCACCTCCACTGCAATGGCCCATCTAATGTCGAACCCGGACAAATCAACAAGAGAACGAGTAGGAAGAAGTTTCCAAAACAGTCCAAAATCCCTCAAAAGAAGAGCAAGGGTTTATCAACCCCGGGTTCTCATTGCCCATTTCTCTCGCTCTCTCTCTCTCTCTCTCATTCTCTGTGTCTTTGAACACCCGCTTTCCTTATGTCTGATACGATTTGATCCCACTTCCCACGCCTCTGGATGACCAATGCTCCCCAAGCTCGGCATCCCTGGCGCTTTCGCATAAGCCCCGGAACCAAGGAGTATGCAGTAGGACTTCGTACAAAGCAAAACTCAAGAAAACATATGGCTGAGTTCCAAAACACATACGGCTGAACAAAAGTAAAGCAGCTTGACAACTCATCCCAAAAACATACTCCACTAAATTTGCAAAGCGAAAAGTTGATGGATGACCTCGGAAGAGACATGTAATACAGAAATCCAACCTGGAAGGTGCCAAATTTCACTTGCACCCCCAGTCACAGCGTGTATGTCCTCATCATTCATCTCTTGTCAGGACAGGAAGACAATTAATTGTTAACGTTGTGCATTGCAAGCCTGGCGGAGTTGCCGTCGGCATGCCAAAAGAATTGCAACACTGTTGAAGTGGTCGAGGGGCCGACTTGACGCGAGCATCCGTAGCAAAGGAAGAGTGGGCGAGATCGAAGCAGCGTTGTGAAAGGTTTGGATATGTATCAAGACCGGTCGGGCCCCTTCAGATGCTTCGCAAGATCGTTAAATGTTCCAGAAGACATAAAACATTTGCCCGCTGCTTCGCTGAAAACACCAGGGCCCCTCACAACAAATGGACCGGTGCTTCTTCGCACGGTCGTCGCGGGCGCTGCCAAAGCCTT